TAAAAAAGAAATAGGAACATATAAACAAAAAAAAACATATTTTTATTGCTCTACAACCAGTTATAGTACCAAAATTGCAAAATTTCAAAATTAATGTTAGAAAATTTTAATAATTCAAAACATTTTTGAATTCATTTTCTGGAAAATTTTGTTTTTTAGTTGCATTGCGTTGTTGTTGCAAATGAATAATTTACAATTTAAGAACTATTTTAAATAATAATCTTATCGTATATTATAAACATAAATTGTAGAACAAAAAAATGTGAATTTGATTCCTACATTCCTCTCACTCTCTCTCTTTTTCTCTTACAATGTAAAATATAAATATAAAGAATCTTTTAAAAGTATTTATTAATCGAATGTAATATGATTGTTTTAGAGCGAACGCATACTCAACAAAAGAGGTTTCAATATTTATCTGAAGAAAGAACTTTATCAAGTTACCGATAGCATTAAAGCACGCGGCGTGATTTATAGTTTGTTACGCCTATCAGAAGAACAGAAATGCAAAGGTGTAGTAACAATCTCATCGGGCAGCTTTGCATTAATTATCTGTCATTATTCACTTCATAATGAAATACCGGTGACGGTGGTGATGCCGACAACAACGGCAGAAGAAAAAATCGAATTATGTCGATCGTATCTATTAGCACGAGTGCTTGTCAAGGGTAATAACTTATTAGAAGCTCATCGTGCCGCTTTAGATATTGCCATGAGGGAAGACTTATATTATCTTGACGGGTATTCTCCTTTAGCAAAATCTTATAAAAAATTCGATTAAACGCACAATTAAAACCGTCGTATACAAATGCCCGTACTGACATAAAGATGTATTTAATATAAGTATAAAAACAGATTAAAATGTTTTTATAAAATCGGCGAAATTCTTTCTGGTAAAAAATTTTTCATGAATATGTATAAATGTGTATAAACCTATATAAATACGCATAAATATTTATAAACGTGTATAATTATATGTCCATGAAATATGTCCATACATATTCATACATCCTTCTTTCTTTTGTAAAATTACTGTTTAGTGTAATAGAAATGATAATAGTAACGTGGAAAAAGTAATTAACGGGATAATTTTCGCATTGTTTGATATAGAAAAAAACAAGTTAAGAAAAATGTAAAAACAATTGCTCATACATAATTATGTATAATTTTATATATAATTATACGTAAGTAACTTTTTTACATTTCCTCAAACTTGATTTTTTTCTAAAACAAATAATGCGAAAATTATCCCTTTAATTACTTTTTATGTTTCCACATTACTATTATCATTTCTATTATCGTTTTAATTATTTTTATAATATTTTTATATTATTATTTCTATTACACTAAAAAGTAATTTTACAAAAAAAAGGATATATAAAAATGGACATATTTCATATATAATTATATATGTTCATAAATATTTATGCACATTTATATATGATTATACATATTTATACATATTCATGCATAAAACATTTTTTATTGAGTTGTTATTCTATTAAATAAAAATATATGTTCTTTGTCATTTAGAATATTTGTATATAATTTTTATGTTCAGAATTAAGTCAGTGTACAACAGCTTTAATATGCACTACTAGTGCATCTAATCGAATTCGTTATTCGTATTAATCGCAAATACCTTTTTGTTAAAAAATCATATTTTTATCAATATTATATACCTATTTTGTGTATGCTTTTAATTGTATCTCTCGAAAATTAGTTAATTTGAAGGACATTAATTAATAGTTTTCTTATCATATTCCATTATATTGCCGCAAAAGATATACTCCTTTCGTTAATAATAAGTTCTTGAGAGTGAATTATTCAATATTTCTTCGATAGAAATGATCATCCAAACATGATTATTGGTCAAGCCACCTTGGGCATAGAAATTATAGAGCAACAAAGTGAAATTGATGTGGTACTTTTGCCGACGGCAATTGAAGGTTGCGGATTAACAACAGCTATTGCAATAGCTATTAAAGGGTGCAATTCAAAAATAACAGTTATTGTAAGTTAATAGCTCTTCTATATATATAATTTATACATTATTTTATTTCATTAATTAGTACATCAAGGAAAAGTGTTGTATTCACTTAGATAAATTATTTGTATTATAATCTTAATTCTTAGGAAGTTCAAGGTACAAATTCTGATTTATTCCAAGAGGTGAAAAAACAAACGGATTCACCTAAAGAATTGAATATTCCTACGAAAGAGTATGTAGCGTGTCCTTTAAGAAACATACCACGTTGCGTGATCGACAGGTTTATTTCCGTAGCTCCAGAGTGGATTTATTATGCATCTATACAACTACACAAGTCTGAATGTTACTACGACTGTTATGGAGCAATTGCTTTAGCTGCAATTTTATCTGGTCAGCTTGATGATCTACGGGGAAAAAGGTGACTCCTTTTATAAATACGATATTTTTTTCGAATTTATTAATTTATTAATTCCGTAGCAATTTATATATTTTATAATCGTAATGTATGCACTATATGCAATTTAAATTTCAATTTAATAATATTACATAAAATCACATTATGAGATTGTTTTTGTAGGATAGTTATACCTTTATACGGTAGAATGGATTTGAGTGAAGAAGATTTTACTATAGATAGATGTATCTTTAGACAATATCATCTCAGGTTGCACCTCACGTAATCGAAACAGCTAAATTATAAAAAAATTATGTATCTGTTATAAGCAAATATAATCAGAAATACAAAACAAGTCACACAACTCGAAAAAAATTCGAGTTACGAAAAAAACAGCTACGATTTCTAAATTGGAGACTAAATAACGAAATAATTTTATCAATAATATCCCGTATTGGTATATCAGATATAGTATTACAAAAATTCAATGTTGGAAATTTTCAATTATATCACAATAATAATGGATGTCATATACATTAAAGAAACAAAAATTTTAAAATATGTATATTGTATACTTAAAAATTTTTTAAATGTATATAAACATGATTTTTTATCACACAAATATTTATCAGTTTTGATGTCTAGAAAAATTGTAGACAACTAAAGCATACTTGACAAACAGAAAAGTCATATAGATGCGACGTATTTCTCAACTTGATCATATCAACCGGTTTTTAAATATTGACTACCATTAAATATTGATTACCATTTAATTTCATATAAATGTTAATGTTACTTTAATCGGTTTAAAATTACATTCAAATTGAAATATAATCCCGGGAAACAAATTTTAATATAAGGTATACCTTCTGTGTAGCTGAACTTTTTTTTAGAAGACAATTTCCCGGAATTCAACCGGATTGAACGAAAATTGAAAAAAAAAAAAAAAAGAAAAAATGATAATTTTACAACACTGTATAAGATAATATAACATTACGAATATGCATACTTATTTCTAACATTTGAATAATAAAAACAACAATTTAATTTGATATAAAATTTCAACTATATATATATATTCTCGGATATATTCTCGGATACTAATGATATCCGACTATCCGGTCGGATAGTAAAAAAATGCAGGTTAGTACCGGATATTTTTCGGATATCCTGCATCCCTAGATTATACAATTATATATAATTATACATACGTATATATTATATATATTTCATACAGATTATATATATTCTATA